AGAAAGAAAAGGTAGATTTTAAAACTTGGTTCCTGAGGAGAAGAGGAGAAGAGAAGAGAAGAGAAGAGAAGAGAAGAGAAGAGAAGAGAAGAGAAGAGAAGAGACCAGGAGAAAACTTCGTTCAAAGTGGCTTTAGAAACAAATTTGACCCTGATGAAAAAGGGTAGGGATTGAAGCTGCAGATGAAATCTGGCTAGTACTTTTGGTTTTATTAATAAAGCATGATACTGTAATGGTTTTATGCATTAGGAAGATGCCTTGTGACATCTTGGAAATCCCACATAAAACATTATTTTCCCCTGTACATGCAGGAGGACTGTATGTACTCAGATGATGCAGGTTGTGTTCTCTGCTTTTCCAAACTCTTCATCAACCCGCATCAGAGCTTATGAAGTGCTGCTGAGTCAGAACAGTCTCACCTAACAGTCACAGTGCACTGACTTTTCAGAGGCAGAAATAACTTCCCATAATATATGGCACCCAGAAATCAGGCCATGGTATTACCATTTCTTCATATTAATAAAAGCTGTATTTTGTATTCCATTATAGTTATTTAACCTTTGTCATCTAACCTCTGGGTCAGTTTGCTCTTTGTAACAGCACATTTCTTCTTCAGTCTTGTTTCTATATTTAGAAAACTTACACTCTGAAAGAAGATTTTTTAACTTAAAAAAAAAAGTATATTCTAGCTCAGAAGTTTTGGTGTTTCTCTGCAACCTATAGTTTATTCTTCCAACTCAGATAATGTATTGCTGCTTTTACCATAGCCAAAGAAATACTTTGCTTTTCAAAGGGTATTTTAATCCTCAGCATGTTCTTCACTATCCCATATGCAGTCCATATGTACTAAAAATACAGCCACTTTTACTGCAAATAATATTAGTTTTCTCTCTGTCTCTTCCCTTCTCATTTTTTCTCTATCAATATTTTTGGCAATGGAGATGAAACAAATATACCCTTCACTGACAATCCAGTGTACAACTCTCTGGATGTCAGCAGGAATGCAGAGAGCTCCAAGAATAGCACATTTGGTTCCTACGGTGCAAGTGGAGCTCAGAGACTCAGCCTGTCCCTCCAGACAATGGCTGTTTATCACCTACATCCCCCAACAAAACAACCTTTTCAGCTGGGTTTGGTTCTCAGCATTTCACACACGGAGCAGGCAGTGGGCAATCCTGCCCTCCTCCCTGAGACTCCCAAGTTTTAACTCACATCAGCTTGGGCTTGGAAAAGAGATAGCCACCCAAAGGATTTGTTGTATTCCAGCCTGACTTCAACTGTGAATATCCCCGGCTGGTTTTCCTGCCTTCAGGGAGGAGGGGATGCCTCCTTGCCCTGCACAGAGCCCTGTGTCTGCTCTTGCACTGGGGGACTGACAGAACAGCTTTTCTGCAAGTGGGGTGTTGTACCAGCATTGCTGAAGGCAGAACTGGGCCCAGTGTATTGGGCATTCCACAACAGGAAATCTGTAAGTACAAACTCTATTTAGACATGAAAATCAGGGAGATGCCCAACTAGTCAACCTGCCTGGGCAAATTCAGCATTTTGTGCACCCAGAAACAGAGGATGAATTCAAGTGGTGAAGCTTTACCCCTGAAAACAGCGTGTGATAGCTCTGGATACCTCTGACTCTGGCATTTACTACTGTGTTTATATTTGTTTATATTGTTTATATTTGTTTACAAGTCCAGACCTTTGAGTATAATTTCACTCAACAGTATCAGCCCTTCAGGAATAAAATGAAAACCTGCCCATGGCCAGAGAGCAGTGTTAGCCCCACCAGGCTCTGAGCTACCACACAATGCAAACTGTCAGCGCCTCAATCAATACCCAACAATAAAGACATGGTGCTTCAGATGGGGGAGATTAGCCCCATCACACTCAGCAGCGTCCAGGCAAGACAGGATCTGGGACACAGACTGATCACACTTAAAAGATACATCACTAACTAGGAAATGGTAGAGCTGTGAGGCACCAGCAGTAACCCCGCTTTTGGAATGTGGAGTGTTTGCTTTAATGCACAGTGAAACAACAGCAAAACGCTCACTCTGGGTCTGCGGCTGCTGCTCTGTTCCCCATGTTGCTGTGCCTGCTACAAGGATCAAATTTCATGGTTTATTGTTCTCCCTCCAACTGGCCACCATCCACATTCTTCTTCTGTACAAAGCTGCACCTCTTGCTCCAAAGAAGAGAGAACTATGCCTTCTTTTTATAAATTTTAGTCACATTTGCAAACACACACACAGAGTAAGGGGATGACTTTTAAGCACTAAACAATATTTCAGGGAATGCTGTTATTTTTCTCTGAGCAAATTTCTGTGAATGAGGCTAAAAAAGGGCAATTTTCCACGAGAAATTTACTAATTTTTGAGATGCAGAAGTTGTCTCCCCCGTCTTCTGAATCTTTAACACTGTGCCTTTTAATGAAAAAATTGCTCATTCCTTGAAAAGTCCTATTCATCACCTACCTCAGGAGGGAACTGCACTGAAATTCTGCAAAGCTCAAATTCATCTCTGGATACACTGCTGGAAATCAAAACCACAGTCACTGGGGCTACTTCTCTCTAACGGAGTAAAATTGGTACAGAGCAGGTGGGGTCCAAAATTCAGTACTATCTCTCAACGTAAATAAGAAATCTATTGCAGACAAATAACAGATCTCCATGCTAGATTCCATGAAATGTAGTAAGTATCTCAGACTCAGGGATTCCTACACAGAATAATTTTCCTATGTAATTTTTCTTTTAACTCAGCACTCAGGATCCATTTTCTTCTATGAGATTTGCAATAAAGTTATCAAAGCCTTACAAAATGCTCCACTCCTGAATATCCACCATCTTTCTTCAGCAGCTCAACAGACTGTAAAACTAGAGCACTGTCATCTGCTGTGTAATTATTGGTCTAAGTCTTCCCTGTAAAATGAGGGAGGCACCATAAGCTTACCTAACTAGTCTGAAAATGTAAAATGCTCATCACCTGTAATCACTGTCTTAACTGTCCTTGATCTTTACTGATAGCAGCAAGATTATAATAACTCTCTCTCTGACAGTGAGAATTAGCTGAAAATGCGGCACAGGCAGAACACCAGTGAAGTTGCTCAAAGAAGGAGTATTTCGGCCAATTAGACAGACAGACTTCAGGAATTTTTTATATTTTTTTTATGTCTAATCAGTGATGCAAGGGGTTCAGAGGTATAAGACTAAAATGCAAAGCAGGGAAAACTGGGGCATAGAAACCTCAGGAATCCAACAAGGACATTCCTACTTCACAGACTCAGTGGTGAAGCCAAAAAGAAAAACCTCAAAGGTTATGGACGTATGATCAAAAGTGATCATGTCACTGTGGTTAACCTTACCAGTCCTCATGCAAGATGCAGGAAAACACCATGAACGTGTTCTTCACCCACACCTGCCTCCAGAGTAAAACATCTGGTGGGCAGTAATTTGTGGAACTGCTGCACTTTGCTCCCTTTCAATCGTATGTCTATCCACAGGCCAGGATCCCAAGCCAGCAAGACTCTCTACTCCCTTTTAACCTGGGTCCCACTGAACACAAGCAGTGTCCTCATGTGCCTGGAGCAACAAAGTGCTCCAGGTCTTTGTTGAATAAGGGGCTTTCACTGGTAACCCTCTGAAGAGCACTAGCTGTTCTACAGCTGCATAAGCCAGTTCAGTGGGTCAGTCCTTCCCTGCTGCCTGCTCTGGGCTGCTGCAGGCAGTAGGGGAGAACCGAGGGAGCACAACTGGGAAAAGAGGGAGGTGATCCTGAAGAGGCACAGCGGCAATGCACTCCACTGACTTACCCCTCAGAAGCGGATATTTAGTAACTATCCCCCATTTCTCATTGCTGTCACAGGACATCATGGTATTTAGTTACACCAGCAGTACACCAAGATTGATGAAATCCCCCTCCTTAAGAACCAGTCAGTTTGCAGGGAAGAAGGCAAAGAAGACCTGGCTCTGGAGTGCATTTCACACTTCAGCTCTCAAGCAGATCCCAGCAGAATTTCAGTGATCAGTCTCTGCTTTACTGGGAGAGCAGTGTCTCAGTCCTTCCCAACTGCTGATGGAGTGACTGTGTGCACAGCTAAGCAGCTTGGAGGAGTCTGCTTACAAAGTGTTGGCTCAGCCTAACAAAGCCCTTGGTCTGGTGGTGAGGTTTGGTGTTTCCAACTATTCTTCCAAACAAAAAGACATTTATTCCTCACAGCCAGGCTGCTCTCAGACCCAGTCCTCGAGCCCTTCCCTGCTCCCAGAACCCTGGTCACAGCAGATGTCTCTGATCTGGGGTGCTAGCAGATTCACACCTCTCACTGAGTCTCAGGGAGGAGGTGGCTGGACAGGAGCCAGGGCTGTGCCTCACTTTTGCCAGCTGCATTTTTGCATTTACCAGCTCGATTCGTATCACAGATCACCATGGGTGGGGAATGGCCCTCATCCAAAGCAGGGAATGGCTTCTGGCAAATCCTAGTAACAGGTATTTCAAGTCTGCCTCTTTGCTATTCAGGAGCTGTACTGTTTGACCTGCTGTCCATGAAGGACACATTTTAACTTCACTTCTCACCCCACCTGATCTTTTCTAGCCTCAGAAGCACAACACAGAGATGAATTTGTTGAAGGGCACTAAGATAAAAAGAAGATATTCCCTCGGAAAGGATAACATGAAACATGCAACAAGAATATCTCTGGAGATTATAATATAAGATGAAAGAGACCATCACCTATACAAGTAAAAAAAATTACTTCAAAATAGCCCAAAGTTCTCCACCAGGCTAAAACAGGTAATGCATGGTGGAATTACAGTACATTTTTAGTTGAAGAAATAAATAAATGTACTATGATAACACCAGAGGTTGTTACTGCCTTGTCCACGTATGCACTGTGCTCACCTCAGAAACTTAGTGACGTCGCATTTGAAACACAAATGGAAAAGCAAAGTTCAGAAAATAAATGACTTGGTATTTTCACATAAGCCATGTAAGACAGAAGAGAGGTTCTCACCTGTCTGCTTTGAGATGGCAGTGTGGCAGCCTGCATCTGTCTCTGCATCCGATGTGGCTGCATCAGCTGCCGGAACTGCTGCTGGAGGAACTGGCTGCTGTTGGTCTGCTGGGACTGCTGCGTGGCTGGAGACTGCTGCTGCTGCTGCTGCTGCTGCTGCTGCTGCTGCTGCTGCTGCTGCTGCTGCTGCTGGAGATAGTGAATGAGGGACTGCTGTCCTTGTCCTGCTGTCAGAGGGGACATTTTCTGAGTAGCTGACTCCGAGGCAAAGTGAGACAGTGGTTTGGTGTTGTTGAAAGAAAACTGGTCTTGGCTAACAGGGCTCTCATTCACCAGACCTGGCTGTAAGCTACTGGATGGCTGTTGCATAATTATGTTCATATTTTTGGTCTGGTTTGCAGTCATTGATTTAAAAAGCGAGTTCTGCATATTTGTGGGATTGCTGGTGGGAGTGATGTTAGAGATTAATGTACCTTGAGGACTGAAGGGCTGCTGATGCAGAGCAGGGCTTGACAGCTTTTCTGGCCTGTACGGTGGAGAAGGTCCGGTATTTGTGGAGGCCATGCTGGCAACCAAGTTGCTCTGTGGGCTTTTAATGCTGTTGGCTGGCAAGCTGGCTGCTGTGAGAGCAGGCAGCATGGAGCTCTGAGGGCTGAAGGGCTGCTGGCTCAGAGCTGGACTGGAGAGCTTCTCAGAGCCATAGGGGGGAGAGGGGCCATTGGATGGGGTGCTGCTGGAAGTCATGCTTGAAAGCAGAGTGTTTTGAGGACTCTGAATGTTGTTTCCTGGTAAGTTATTAGCAGGCATGCCAGACACCATAACATTTTGAGGACTGAAAGGTTGATGGTGTGGGGATGATCCTGCCCTGTAAGGTGGAGAGAGACCAGGAGGAGACATAGTTGGCCAGCTGGGAGTCTGTACTTGTTGCTTGGTACCAGACACCTGCTTGCTGGCTGCCAGCTGCTTTAGCTGCTGAGCATGCCAGTTGGAGCCAGGCATGTTGGGCAAGGGTACTGGGAGCATCGGTGGTGGCTGGTTTTTGTTCTGAGCTGCTGTAGAGATGGGTGATGCAGCAGGTTTGTTTGAGGGAGGAACTTGGAAGTTAGCTCCAGCAGATGATGGTCTCATCTGAGGGGATCCTCCACTGGTTGGATTGCAGCCTGGAGAAAAATCTTTGTTAGCAACATGGTTCTCCAAGTGGGAAGTCTGTGGGGAAGACTTTGGAGTGGTACTTAGGTTTGGTTGGGAATGACTCAGACCAAGTGGATCTTCAGCCTTGCTGCACAAAATCTTCTCCAGATCCAGGTCATTGGGAGAAGGATCAGGCATTTTGGTCAGCTCTTCCAACAGATCTTGCAGCTCCTGGTCCACAGACTGTAAGCTGTTTCCTTTCTCGTCGTAATGGACAATGTTGTTGGTTTGCCCTCCTATTGAGCCCTTCTGGTTTATTTCTGTGCTGGCTGGCACTGAGAACGGGGAGCCAATGCCACCCCCATTCAAGTGATTGTTCTCGAGGAGCACTGGGTGCCCTGTGACTCCCAGGGAAGAAGTGCTGTGACCAGTGGGGAATGGAGAACTCTGCATTTCTGGACAGGCCATGCTGGGATTGGCACCTTGGCCCATGGCAAGGTTTACATCGTCAAGACAAAGTCTTTTACTGTCATTTGGGAAAGTGACATCAGGCACGCCACTGGAGGCAGGAGAGCTATCATCTTCCAGTTTTCTTTTAATGGATCCCTGTAACTGTGAAAATATAAAAGGAACAAGAAAGGATGCATTATTGACCATATTCTGACATGTGCTGAAGCTCCATAATACAACACTGGGTTGGAGATAAAGAAAATTAAATAATACAATTAAAAAGCCAATCATGTGAGACAAATTCAATCAGGATTTAAATGTGTGCAACTTCACCGAAATCAAAAGAGTTATAGTCAGACAAAAGCTAAATCTCATGAGTTGGCTTTAAAACAGATGTTAAAGCTACAAAATACTGTCTGTTATGTGAACTGTAATAGAAGTTTTTAAAATAGTTTCTGGTTGCATTTCAATTAAGACATTATACTCTCTGCATAACAAACATGCCAACATTTTTATGGTAACATTTTTTAGGTCTAAATGGCAAATCTGAATGAAACCCTGGACTGAATTTAGTGACCTTCTGCCAGTGACTCGAATTAAATTCAGACCTGAGACAATTAAATTGTTTTACATTCTTTATAGGCCAAACATCTGAAATAACTAGCATACTTTCTAAACAAACCAAAACAAACCAAACTCTCAGCTATCTATCTAAACAGACTTTCAAACTTCCTATCACAGATGTTTTAAATTCCAGAAAGAGTAAGTAACAGCTAAACTTCTTAAATTTTGTTTATTCTTCTGTGTCTAAGGCATTGTGAGCTTCATCTTTTGAAGGATTGCCACTCATTCATAAAAATAGACATGTTTTCAAAATACAATTATATAAATATCTTGACCTACAAGAAATGATAGAGCTGTAAATTCACAAATCTCAGGGAAAAGAAACCTGCCTTCCACATATAAAGAAAGTGAAACTAGAAACAATGCTTCTCATACTATTTCAGCATATGGCAATCTCTTCCACATAAAATCATCTATGGCTTTCAATTTTAACAAGCATGACCTGTATGTCACGGGATTAATCAGACCTTAACACTGCTGCTTCAAGTTAAGGGAAATAAGCATTATGACCTTGTTTATCAATAGAGGGAAGCAGTATATAGAAAAGTATCTGATCAGCAATGGGATAGTGAAAGAACACTGGTTCCTCTAAGCCAGCTCCCAGTAAAGCTTCTCCCAGCTCTGGGCTACAAGTCCAAGTGCTTCCCATCATGTAGTGCTATTAAAAAATCCCATCCAATAAAAGCTCATATCAACAGAAAAGTCCCCCCACCAACCCCAGCATAATCAGATCCACTCCAGAGCTATGCTGCATATGGCCAACTTCTAAATTTTACACTAATTTTTAAACACACTGCAGTTATGCCTCAGTCCCTGCACAACTACAGCACTTTGGTGCTCTCAGACCACAGTGTCACAGCAGTGTCACCACAGGCTGTGTGAAGGCTGTGGGGCACAGGGGGGCACACCATGTGCAGCTCCTCTGCACTGTGCAAACAGCTGATGTCCTCCCCTACGTTCAGCCTGTCTTCAGGCAGCCCCACAAGCGTGTATGGCTCTGACCTGGGAACGTGGCAGGGCTGCCTGGTGGCTCTCTCAGCTGCTCTCACACCCCTCATCACTTGTTTCTAAATTCGTGGGCAGAGGGACAATGGCAGATTTGTGCCCACAGTTGCTGAGGGTGTAGATGCAGTTTGGGATTAGTATCAGACATTGCCATGCTGCCATCCAGTTTACAGAGACATTTGGAAGAGAGTGAGAGGATACAAGCTGGTTGTCCATGATCATCATGGCAGCTCTGCAGACTACAATGAGCTGCTGAGCAGCTTTTAGGAGATCTTCATCTACCCTCCATCACCAGACATAGCAGCTTTGGCATTGTGGCAAAGAGACCTTTGGGTGTTTTCCCTTTACTCCCAAGAGTTGTCCCTTACAGAGTTATTAGTGCTTGTCTCTGGTGTTCTCCAGTCACATTGCTTAACATGGGCTGTGCTCAAAAACCACAGGTGGGGAGAACTGAGGAGAGCTGCTTCCAGTGCACGATGTCTGGTTACTGAGAGCCTCCTTGGGCAGCAGTGTTTGTGCTGGGCCAGGACTGCTGCTCTGCGAGAGCCTGTCCCAGTGTCACAGCCAGACGCTGCTGCACCGTCAGACATTTGCTGATGAGGCCAAAGTTTGCTTAGCTTTAGGAAATGGAGCCAGGCCTAAATCTTCTCCCAAATGTTAGTCTAATGATGGATGAAATAGTTTTCCTTCATTTTCTCTGCTAAAATTAAGCCAGAGCTGCATGTTTCAACAGATGTTGCCCTGTGTAGGCTGAAACATGTTGGTGGAGACTACCTACATATATTTAAAACTCAGACATGTACAGAGAGTATTTACAGGGGCTTCACACATCCAAAACAAACAGAGTGTGCTCCCAAGCTGCACCCTGGGAACCTTCAGGCAGGAAGTGTGGGGGATCTCCCACCCTTGGCCAGCTGACATGCTGGCATGCATGTCCTTGCCAGCTCTTCCCTTGCCATAGGACATTCCTACGCTCTGAGTTACCGGGGAAAAATGTGGGCTTTCTAAACACTCTGAAAAACAGTTCTTTAACTGTTGCACTGGGGAATAAGTGTGAAGGGAAACAAAACTGCATTTCCCCATGACTGTTACTAGATAGAAACAGCTAAAATAAGGCCATAGCTTTCTGATGGCACAGGTATTCCAAAACTGGGACAGGACTTTTAAATAGGATGCTGTTGCTTAGCCCTCCCGAGAAGATTTGCTGTAAGAGAGGCAATGAAATTAGCTGGGTGTCATGTTCTCTTGAAAAGCAAGATTCCTGTTTCCCAGGAGTATTGCACAAGTACTATAAAATCCAGAAGACCAATTTCTTCCAGTGCAGGCAGGTATAACTCCACAGAATTTAGTAACATTGCTTTTGCTTAAGATGGATTTGACTACAGCCCCAAACTTGAGAGAGAAAGATACGCTTCTTAAAGCAACTAAACAAATCACAGAATAATTTTGGTTAAAAGGGGCACTTGGGTGCCATCATCCTTCTGCTTCAAGCACATCACCAATGTAAAAAATAGATGATAGTCACCAGGCACTTAAGCATGGAGTTTCCATTATAAACAGAAATCCCTCCTCGCTCTGGCTGAGAGGTTGTTTTCAGTGCTCCCCACTGACACCTCAGTGGTTGTTTCTTCCACACAGCAGACTCTGAGCTGGTGCTGGCTGTGAGGAGCCCCAGCTCCCAATGACTGCTCTCCATGCACATGCTGCTGTGGCAGCCCTGACCAGTGCAGGGGACAGGAACACAATTTCCTGTTACTGGGACCCTGCCTGGCTCAGACATGCCAACCACAGTGGTGGCAGGAGAGCATCAACAAGGCACTACAACTTTTAGGATCAGCAGGTCCTGACCTCACTAATTCAAGAAGTTGTTTGTTGCAGAACATTCCTTCATCTGGTTCCAGATTCCCCAGGGAGGACCCAGTTTATTCCAACTCTTTCACCTCTTCTTTTTTTTTTTACACAATTTGACAAAATCAACAGAAAAGAGAAGAACACCAAAGCTTGTTCTTCCCCTTTCTCTGCTGATTAGTATATTGGGCAGCTCTGTTTCAAAGAGCTGAGAAGTGAGTGGAAATATTTTAGAAATGCATCACACACACACATACACTCTCCTAAGCTGGTTGGAGGCTGCCTATGGCTCAGTATGGGAAAGCTTCATTCAGATGTGCAAGCAAGGACGAAGCAGACAAGCAACAAAGGGGCTCTTGTGACATTGTCAAAATGCATTAAAATGCACTGGCATGCACAGGCTAACTTCTGTTTGGGAATACCTGGGAAACAAAGGCAGCTCTCCGATTCAGGGCATATCTGATTGTGAGTTCTCCATTATCTCAGGTTTGCTTTTAGCAGTGATCCCAGCACTACTGTCCTCTCCAAACCAGCAGGCTGTCTTTCTGGGAAGGACCAAGTCACGCAGGAGCAACGCTGCGGGCTCGACATGGCAGCACAAGCAGAATAAATAATAAATGTTTACGCTGCTCTGTCCACAGAAGCTGCACAGCTGTGGTTACAAACAGCTAATTTGTCACACGCTCCCTCCCTGCACCAAACTGATTCCCTCCATGCGGGCAGAGTGCTCCACAGGCTTCTCTTGTGCAAGGAGGGAAGGGCAGCCTCAGCAGGAGAAGCCAGTCCTTGGCTGTGCCCTCCTCAAGCTGAGCTCGCTCTAAGGGTGACCTTGGCCATCAGGCACCAAACTTAGGAGGTGGTGCTGGCCTTGAGGAACTTACTCAGTGAAGGGACAAAGGAAGGCAGGAAGTGGCAAAAACTGAAGCAGAGTGTTCAAACTGTTAATAAATACATACTGTGATGGTTCTATTGGATTTTAATAACCAATCACACATGGGCATAATCTCTGGACTGGCTCCCTGCTTTGCCAGCATTCAGCCTTTCTTCTCTTGTAACATGTCAGCTGTCCTCAGCTGCTGCTCCAGCTCTCCCTGTGAGCCAGGCTGCCCCATGGCCCTCCTGACAGCCCCTCCTGTCCTGGAATTAATTCTCCTCCTGGAACTCATGCCTTCCTTCACCTGCAGGTGGGAAACTGGGAAGGAGCACCTGCATCCTGCACTGGAAAGCCTTGTTTCTCCAGCCTCACAGTTGACCCCTCCATCAGAAACAAGCCACCTCTAACCAGAGATTTCTATTTAGGCCAACATACTGCAGAAATGAGAGAGGAAAAACATTAGGCAAGGTATTTCAGTGCCTCAGCCGGTCAGAGAGTCAAGCCTTGATTTACAACAACAGCAAGGTGCTGATTATTGATCTGCACCATCCCACCCCACGCACTGCCATGGACAGATCCAACCTACAGCAGTGATTCCCACACCCACACAACCTCTTTGAGTAAGCACTGAGACCAGTGGCTGCTGCCATCCACACCCCCCCTCAGCAGCTGCCCTGTGTCCAGCAGCGTGGCCAGAGACTCTCCTGATTTCATAAACTGATGTTCATGGATCCATGACTGGCATATCCAGAATGGGAGACAGATAACCTTCTTTCACTAAGAGTCTCAAGACCCTTGTAACCTTGGGAAA